TTATTGATACACAGGTATAGTATGTATGCCCATCAGTAATGATACAATATTGTTCTTTACAAAACATATCAATTGCAATGTCTCACTTAAACAAACATTGGTAAATTTTTAAATATCCACACATTTCAGATTCAAATAAATCTTTTAATTTAAGTACAGTACCTCTGCTATAAAAATATTGTTCTTGATACATCTTGGTACCGGAGACATTAGAATTAGAAATGAAATTTGTCCTCCAGTGTGTTATATAAACAGTTTGTTACATCTTAAAGCAGCACGCCTCAAGATTCATGTTAATTTTCATGAAAATTTTGGAATTGTATTAAAAAGTGAAATATTGTGTGATGAACAAATATAGCAATTTGCATAATTGCAATCGGCATTTACAATCCAAGAAAATTACCAAAAAGTGGTCAACATAATTATGCAAAAACAGCCCTTATACTGTGTTAGTAATGCAGTAAAAATATGGTGATTATTTTTAAAAATACTGCAAAATCAGTCTTAAACCGTATATAACATGTAAACTATCACTTAGATCTTGAATGTTTTTACCTTTCTTTAATTTTAGTACATTTTTCTCAATATTGATTTTCTTGAAATATTTTGGCTGGCGCATCTGGAGGTGTGCAGCTTTTACTTTGATATAAATACTTTATATAATTTTATGTCCCCACTTAAAATCTAATTTTGACAAAATATGCTAATTTTCAACAGCTATTGCACAGCACTTTAGAATTCAACTTTTATGGACAATTTAGTTTTTCATCTGAAATTTATTTATATCTTTAAAATGAGATATATTATGAAAACTTCCAGTTGCTGATAGGAAATACTATGCAATTAAGAATCAATCCTTTACAGTTTCTTTTTTCATCATATGTAAATTTTGAAATTTTATCCGTAAATAGATACATAATGTTAAAAACACCACATAGCTATTTTGAGAAAACATGCCACCTAGCCATCCATTACAATCAGATAAATTGTGAGATGTTCTTTTCAATTTTACTTTAAAGATTTCAAAATGAGCATTTGTGATGTTTTAATTAATATTTATGAAAGGAAAAATGTTACAGTGAATGATCATACTCAAATCAAAAATCTGAAACAAAAATAAACAATATTTAAATCTATTTGTCGCATATATTTTATAAACTTGAAATGTACTTTAATTTTTTAACCTTTAAATTGTATGGACATTTATTGGCAATACATCAATAGAACCCCCTTTATGACTGAGTGTATTGTTTTACTTGAATAATCTAGTTTGTTATAATATTATTTTAATGACAAAGTAAAGTTCAGCAGGCAACTATGTGACATCTATTAAGAATAAATCAAAGCAATTATTTTACTGTGACAACACCATAGATTAATATAAATATATATTCCTGTAAACTTGGAATATTTATAAAATATACAATATTCATGACTTTCAAATCATTTAAGTTATTACGTGAATGTTCAGTAGTAAAGAAAATATTTTACTTATTTTAACGATCATTAAAATTCAATTAAAATGTATGAAGACAGAATTTGTAAAATTGCACATGTACTTAAAGGCACATCTTAATGTCAACTGTTGTATTGAATCATACTCGACATAACATGATTTCTGTTTGCCAGCTACATCTGTTTGTTACATTTGATGACATAACATGCTACAACCTTAAATGGACTATCTGTTAGTGGCTTCATTTTATTAATTATATTTTAAAAAGAAGCAACATCAAAAAAATAATTTTTGTCAAAATCAACTTTTTAAAAGAGAAATTACTTTTATATCATAAGAATAAATACTCAGGCACAGACATTTTGGCATTTTCTAGTGTCGTGAGACTGCGATTGTTGGATTAGTTCGTAACATGTGCTTATAATACAAATTTTGATAATCAATGTTCATCTATATAGATATATTAACATAACATGACCTAAAATAAGTCTACAAAATGATGTTGACAGATACTGAGACTTTTTTAAGGAGATAACTTGTAATTAGAGAGAGTAGTTTGATGATAAAAATCGTAAGATTGTCACGGCTTCACCATGCTACTAAAGTGAATAACTGATGTCTTCATACAGCAATTACACAAATGTGGCAGTGCCCACTCATTGTGTAAAATCTGATAGAAAAGCAATTTACATTTAGTTATATTTAAGCATTTTATATCCCTCCTTTATCACTGAAATTTTGCATGTTTTCTGTTTCTATTATACCTATTTTAATGTTATAATTTATCACAACACAATATTTCATAGAACAAAAGTAAAAACAACAATAATCCTTGTCATAACAAGTCAATTTATAAAAAATATAAAGAATATATTTTGAAAACAATTTACAAAGAACATAAATATTCCCTAAAGAAAATTTTGTTTTTAAAATTTTAAGTTTCTGATACTGTATAGACTTTTTCTAGACTGCTAATGTATAAGTGTAACATAAATTATAGAAATAAGTCACTTTGACTCCTGCTCAGTTATTTAAAAGATCTGTTTGTTTATTTCATGCTTTTCAGTGTTTTACTTTAATATATCAGATGATTATATTCTGATAAACCACTAGTGAAATGTATAAAATATAATTTTCACTGTAGCCAGACTATATATCTGAATGCGAATGAAAAGAATATCATAACTAAATGGAATAACAGGCAGAAATAAATGCTGTCATATGTAAATTTTGCTTCTTTAGAATGTCAGCATACATCATGTCAAAAATGTAACAAAATTAGAGAAATTTAACAGAACTATATTTAAGAAATAACATCAGCCTGAGAGGTGTATATCGGCTATTTAACACCGGTTTGGAGTTTTGATGTGTAGGAATTGATTTTTTCGCATCAAAACGACAAAACCGGTGTTAAATAGCCGATATACACCTCTCAGGCCGATGTTATTTCTTAAAATTAGAAATTATTAAACAAAAGAAATAGTAAGAAAAAAAAACAACGTTGCTTTATCAAGTTTTCAACAATAAAAACTTACGTCGTATGGTGCTTACATCAGTGCCCTATTTATCATTCTTGTATGTATGTGGCGTTAGTGTATGTGAGATATTATTTCGGTATTGTATGAAAAGAAAACTTTATAAGAACTGAAAATATAAATAAAAATGCTTTTTATTGTTGCTTTAAAAGGCCTTGTAAACCCTATAATCGAGGGTGAAAACATAACAGCCGCATATACAAGTAGTCCCTAACCAGTGTTTATTGGCAGTTTAACACCGTTTTTTTTCCTTCTTTGTCTATAGTGACAAAATCATGTGGAGTGTTAGAATTCAAAATTGATGATTTGACGTCATGATGTGATGACGTCACAAAGGAGAATGCGCGACATTACGCGGTAAAATCAGTAAAAAATACCTAAAATCACTTAAGAAGCATGAAATAAAAAGAAATTTATTTGTTTTTACATATAAGATTGAAATATATTTCATTCCTGAACACCAGCTATTCTATTTTCACTCGTGGCTACGCCACTTGTGAAAATATTACATCTGGTGTTCACTCAGTGAAATTATATTTCAATCTTACATGCAAAACAAACAATTTGAATATCCTCTATATACCACACTGACAGAAAGGCAATGTTACATAAAATTTAAATTCAATGAAATAAAAAAAAGTTTAATGAATTATGCAAATTGTATATTCAACTGCATGGTCAGAAAATTTCAATGTAATAAAAATAAAAGACATAAAATCTAATAGATTTGTTTTCAGCAAGACAGAATAATAGACTTTAAACAAAGCTTGATAAAAAAAATGTTAAACATAAAAAAAAAGAAAACTGACACATCAGGGTTTTTTTTTATTCCATTAAATAAAATCTTAAGAAATATGTAATATCAAATAAGGAGAAAAGGAGATACAGATTATAGAAATGTCATTACAAAACTGGTGTTGATATAAAGTACAAATTTATAAATCATTATAGCACAGTAAAACAACTGGGATTTATTATTTAGACGTTTATAATGATAATAATAATAATAATAAAAACTTTTTTTAAAGAGGCAACATAGTTAGGCAAGCCCAGTCTTCCCTATGAGCCATAACTTTATGATAACTTAAATTTTATTCACATCAATAAATTAATGTTTAATGATGTTATATATAATTGATAGTGTTGTTCACTAGCTCATATGACTCTTTATTTTATATGTATTAAAAAAATTTGTCTCAAGTTTTTGCATTTTAAATAAGCAATCTGGAATTCAAAATGAATATTAAATTGATCTTTATAAATATTAACATACACTGTGCTAAAATATATCAAAAATGGTTGATATAACCTTTAAGTAATTGATTATCATATATATCTACATCATCATTATATACTATACAATATATGTACACATTTCTCTCATAATTTGAATTATTGAGCTGACAGGAAAACTGGTGCTAAAATGGCAATTGACATTGTAAATTGTTTTAACTAAATAGAATTTTTTAATCTTGAAATAATCATGTTAAACTTTAGAAAAAAAATAATTTTTCACATAAATTTAATGTTATTTGCTAGAAAGATTCTTCTAATTTTACTCTATTGTTTCTAATTATAAGTTTTGAATATTGCTAAATTTTAACATTTCTTACTTATATTATATTTTTATCAATTCATTATATATATATATTATGTAAATATTTAAAATATCTACTACATTAATACATATCTACATATCAGGTATAATTACATAAATAAGTCAATAAACAAAATTAATTCACAAACATGCAAGTTATATCAGTAATAAAAAAGCACTAACTAAAAGTAGTAAATTTTACATAACTTTTAAAATCACATATCATTCTAAATTAAACAACATGAAATATTTCATTTACTTTTTGCACAGACCACTTTAAAATCTGTGAACATAAAACTATAAAACTTGGGTAAAATAGAAAAATAATATCATTTAAAAAAAAAGTTAAAAATAATATAGGATAAAAATCATTTCTTAAATTTTATCTAAAAACTTTGAAACATATAACTACCTTTTTTTAAAACTTGCTGTAACCTATCAGTGATATAAAATCCTGGTTATAAAAGCACAGATAGCTAATTTAAACATGGATATGTGACTACTGTATGACAGCACACCAATAGTGTTTTTGAAATGATTTCTACTGTACAGTCCGCTAAATTCCAATACTATACAGCCATGTATTGGCCACTCTCTCCCTCTCTCTCACTTCTCACACTAGCTGTTTATCATCTACCTACCTAAATATCTCTTTACTAAAGTTTGTCATAGGTAAAATATCTAATGTTTAAAAAAATTTCATTTTGCTTCCTGTTATACATGTCTTTATTCTGTTTTAACTTAAACAAGATATGTTTGTAAAACATGTATGCCCCCTATCAGCAGCCAATTAGTCATGTGATAAGGTTATTATGACTTCTGACCCAGTGATCAAACAATTAATAAGGGTTATCCAAGTATCTACTGGTCATGACCTTACCTTTGACCCCTTGACCCAAAACTCAATAGGGGTCATCTGCTGGTCACACGCCAATCATCATACCAAGCCTAAGCGTTTTAGTTAATTGATTAGGGGAAACCGTTTTAAACATACAAGGTCAAATGTGACCTTGACCTTTGACCCCTTGACCCCAAAATCAATAGGTCATCTGCTGGTCATGACCCAATCAAAAAAAATCACCACTATACCAATGTTTGAAGTTCCTAGGCCAAAGGGTTTATTCTTAAGTTATTGATTTGAAAGGCAGTTTTTACCTACAAGGTCAAAGTGACCTTGCCCTTTGACCCCTTAACCCAATATCAATAGGGTCATCTACTGATCATGGGCCCAATAATTCATACCAAGTTTGAAAGTTCCTAGGCCTAAGGGTTCTTTTAGTTATTGATCGGAAACCGTTTTTTACCTAAGAGGTCAATGTGACCTTGACCTTTGACCCCTTGACCCCAAAATCAATAGGGGTCATCTACTGATCATGACCAATCACCATATCAAGTTTGAAGTCCCTAGGCCTAAGGGTTCTTTCGTTATTGATCGGAAACCGTTTTTACCTACAAAGTCAATTTGAACCTTGACCTTTGACCCCTTAAACCCAAAAATCAATAGGGGTCATCGGCTGGTCATGACCAATCACCATACCAAGTTTGAAGTTCCTAGGCCTAAGGGTTCTTTCGTTATTGATCGGAAATCGTTTTTACCTACAAGGTCAATGTGACCTGACCTTTGACCCCTTAACCCAAATCAATAGGGGTCATCTGCTGGTCATGACCAAATCACCATACCAAGTTTAAAAGTTCCAAGGCCTAAGGGTTCTTTTGTTATTGATCAGAAACCGTTTTTACCCAAGAGGTCAAATGTGACCTTGACCTTTGACCCTTGACCCTAAAATCAATAGGGGTCATCTAACTGATCATGACCAATCACCATACCAAGTTTGAAGTTCCTAGGCCTTAAAGTTCTTTAGTTATTGATCGGAAACCGTTATTGCTTACAAGGTCAATGTGACCTTGACCTTTGACCCCCTTTGACCCAAAATCAATAGGGGTCATCTACTGATCATGACCAATCACCACATACTAAGTTTGAAGTTCCTAGGCCTTAAAGTTCTTTAGTTATTGATCGGAAACCGTTTTTGCTTACAAGGTCAATGTTGACCTTGACCTTTGACCCCAAAATCAATAGGGATCATCTACTGATCATGACCAATCACCATATTCAAGTTTGAAGTTCCTAGGCCTTAAGGTTCTTTAGTTATTGATCGGAAACCGTTTTGCTTACAAGGTCAATGTGACTTGACTTTGACCCCAAAATCAAATAGGGATCATCTACTGATCATGGACCAAAATCACCATATCAAGTTTGAAAGTTCCTAGGCCTTAAGGTTCTTTAGTTTATTTGATCGGAAACAGTTTTTGCTTACAAGGTCAATGTGACCTCGACCTTTGACCCCTTGACCCCAAAAAATCAAGTAGGGGTCATCTACTGGTCATGAACCAATCACCATACCAAGTTTGAAGTTCCTAGGCCTTAAGGTTCTTTAGTTATCACTCGGAAACCATTTGGTCTACGGACCGACAGACCGACAAGTGCAAAGCAATATACCCCCTTTTCTTCGAAATGGGGGCATAATAATGTGTTACAATGCTGTAATTTTAAGTCTGTGTTAAAATGATTGAAATCTAATTGTGATAATATGTAACTGAAAGTTTTATTTGCACTGGATAAAGGCTCTCTATGTCATGCCATCAACACTGGGGACCATGATGAAAATAAGAGTCTCTCTTTTTTATGCTATCCTTGGTGTCGGTGTGCCTGTCATGGCTTATTCATTCTTATGTATGTTATATATTTGTACATGTACATGTTGTTTTAAATGTCCTATTAAAAAAATGACTAGCATTAAAGTGATTAATTTAAGAAACACACATCTTAAATATAATCAAGAGGGCCATGATGGCCTAATATCACTCACCTGATTTTAAGGCTCTTAATGACAAGGAACAATAGGAACAAGAGGGCCACAATGGCCCTGAAATCGCTCACCTGTATATAGGCCCTTGGGACAGGGCTAATTTTAACCCAGGGGCTTTTTTTTAACCAATTGGTAAACACCCATTAGAAGAAGTTTCATGATAAGTATCTTAGCTCTAGCTCTTTCGGGTTTTTAACCTTTTCCCTGATACAGCCCCCTTAATTTACTGCTTTACACCCCATAATACAGTAGCCAGATAGATAATCAATAATCAATATCCTACTGATAAGGAGTCACACACTATCTCCATATAGGGTATGATAAATTATAGGTAAAATTGGTCAAATTAGATACCTATATACTTTAACTGGAAAATAAAGTATTAAGTTGTGTTTTGACAAATTTTGTATCAATAAAAAGTTTGTAGAAGAATTGAAATACCTTTCCAATGGTATAAATATCATATTTGTTGGGTTTTATACAAATATGTCTACATGAGTTATAAGTAATAAACTATATACTTGATGGTGTTTTTTTCTCCATTGTTCAGATAAATTAGGCTACTTATGTGTTTAACTAATGTGAAATGGTTTAATTACAAAGTTTGACAATATATATGTCAATGTAAGATTTGTAGAGATTTGAATTATCTTTCCAGTGGTATAAATTTTATATTTGTGGGCTTTATAACAGTATAATTACAGTAGTTATAAACAATAAAAATGATGTATAATTTTTCTCTCATTAGGGAAATATGGCTAATTTTATTAATTAATTTTTTTGGTTTATGCAGCATTCATTTTAGTGAAATAAATAACAACAAGTTCATTTTTTACCTTTTTTTATACCAGTAAAAGAAATCTCACTTTGTTTTTTTTTATTTATTTTATCAGTTTTTTTTTTATAATTTATTTCATAATAGTAACTGTCATTTCAGTAATACATGTATATAACTGTTGAATGAAATATTTCAGAATATCTGCTGTCATGGTCATATATTTTCTTCATGAATTATGAATTTAAAAATTAAATTTTATCATTTATAGATCTAATTTAGATCAAATGATGATAAAGGAAAGACATCCTCGAGTTCCACGGCCTTTTCGGCATTTTCATGTTGCCGACATCAAAGATGATAATATGGGAATATGATTTTATCATGTCGTATAATACACGGCCCCATGCTGTGTCTGTTATGAAAACAATAGCGCACATGAAAGAATTTAAACTAATAAACATTTCTTTTTCGGTCATTTTCTTAAAAAAATCGCCGCTGCTACCGGAAATATTTTATTGCAGGGGCCAGAGAGATACCCCTAGTCAGGACGTTAATTAATCCGTGTATATACACATGTCAGCTATCATAAACCAAAACAAACATCAAATCCATTATACCATGCCTGGCACGTGAACGACCCGTGATCATATAAATACTATTTATTCATTAGATGCTATTTTTAGACACTTTTGTTCCTGTCTTACGATACGTTCTATATTTATTTCATTGACCCGCGCACTCATTAACTGCGTGACGTAAGGAAAACCCCTCACCTGGTTGGTTGCTAATTATACAAAAACTTTAAATAGTAACACCATAATTTTATGCACGGAATCCCCTCATGAAATGTTGATCTTTACGATAACACAATTTACAGGTCTATTTTCCGGGAAAATTGTTGATTTTTGGGCAGGTAAATATTGAAGTCGGCGAAAGTCGCTTCCATTGAGATCATGCATGTCGGCGATTCTCGCTTACATGCGGTAATCGATAAAGCCGTCGATTCTCGCTTCTATCAGGGAATGGTAAAAGACGGCGATTCTCGCTTCTATAAGGGAAAAGGTTAAAAGAAGATTTTTTAAGTTTTTACTATAGACATATAAGGAAAATCAGACCCCCGGGGTGGGGCCAATTTAACCCTGGGGCTTTTATTTGAACAAATTTGGTAGACACTCACAAAAAGATGTTTCATGCTTAATATCTAAGCTCTAGCTCTATGGGTTACTAAAAAAAAGATTTTTTAAGATTTTACTATATACATATAAGGAAAAGGAATGACCCCCAAGGATGGGGCCAATTTTGACCCATGGGCTTTTATTTGAACAAACTTGATAGACACTCACTAGAGGATGTTTCATGACAAATATCTAAGCTCTACCTCTTTGGGTTTTTTAAAAGAAGATATTTTAAGTTTTTTCTTTTGGTTGCCATGGCAACCAGAGTATTGTATGGAATTAAATTCTTTGAACAATTTTCAAAGGTGACCACAAAAGGACCATTCCTGTGAAGTTTGGATGAAATTGGCTAAGCAGTTTATGAGATGTTGTTTAAAGTAAAAGTTTACGAATGCCGGACGAAAAGTGATCACAAAAGCTCACCATGTCACTTTGTGACAGGTGAGCAAAAAATTAACAATAAAATTTTAATCATATTAAACTGATATCATAACATTCATATCTGCACCTGAAATAGTGCAAATGTAAACAAAGTATTTCCATACTTGAGCTGTGTCCCATAGTTTCTGACCCCAAGAATAATGACCAATATTCAAAGTTAGGCTAGAAATCATTGCATCAATCCTTCTGACATATTTCCAAGATATCTGGGCTGGCAATGTTACATCAAGTGCATAAACATGTTTTTTTTTCTCCAATTTTGGGCTGTGTGACCTAGTTTTTTTACCCCAGATGATCCATATTAAAAAAAATGAGCTAGAAGTTACCTAAACAATCTTTCTGGCAAA